CCAGGAGAAGAGGTGGGTCTCCCTGGGATGGAGCCTGATCCTTCTGGGAGTTTATGTTAAAGGCCACTTCAGGAGTCTGAGCAGAGCATAAAATGAGGAAACAGAAATAAGTAGGGTTCTGCTTCCATGCAGTTTTCTATTTAGACATTTCCTTTGTTTAATTTCCCCATTTAAGAATACATAATCAGCAAGCAAGAAAATAATACCAGATATCCATGCTACACGTATCAGGCCTGGGCCAGGTGTGGTGGGTGGCTCACGCCTGTAATCCCAGCACTTTGGGAGGCCAAGGCAGGTGGATCACTTTCAGCCCAGGAGTTCAAGACCAGCCTGGGCAACATGGGAAAACCCTGTCTCTACAAAGAATATAACAATTAGCCAGGTATCGGTGGCTTGAGACTGTAGTCCCAGATGTTTGGGGGGCTTAGGCTGGAAAATCGCTTGAGCCGGGAAATTGGAGGTTGCAGTAAGCCGAGATCATGCCACTGCACTCCAGCCTGGGTGACAGAGCAAGACCCTGTCTCTAAATAAATAAATATCAGGCCTGTAAGGGTAAGGTTTAGAAGAGTGAAACAAGCATGTTGATACTGTTAGATAGCTTGATGATTACCCAGAAATGTTTGGCATATTTCTTTCTTTTTAGAGAAAGTGGTGAAGCATTTTTTTTCTAGTAGAATTTAAACATTCTTTGTTAGAATTTGAGTTATTGCTTCTAGCTTGGACCAAATAACAAATGATACTGGAAGCCAGAGTTTCAAGACCAACATGGTGTTAGTTGAGAGCCATTACAAAGACCCCATAATGTAACTGCAGAATTCCGTGGCCATAACTTAGTCTTCCTCAGCTGGAGACTTCAGGTGCCTCGGGTACCTTCCTTCGGTGTGTGCGTGTATGTAATGTGTTCGTTATTTTTTATTGTATACATTTTGCATGCATTCTGTTACATTTATCCCTGAGGATTTTACAGGTTTTGATGCCACTATAAATGGTACTTTTTAAATTTCAATTTTCAGTTCATTGCTAGTATTTAGAAATACAGTTCATTTCTATAAATTGGCCTTGTATCCTACAACTTTGCTTAAACCCACTTATTCTGATAGCTATTTTGTAGATTCCTTTTCTACATTGATAATGTTATCATCTTCAAATAAAGACAATTTTACTTCTTTTGTAATTTATGTACTTTTTATTTCTCTTTCTTGACCTATTACAGCGGCTAGGATTTCCAGTACAGTGTAGAATGGAAGTGGTGAGAGTGGACATCCTTAGTTTGTTCCTTGTCTTAGGAGAAACACATTCAGTCTTTTTTTTTTTTTTTTTAAGAGACAGGATTTCACCCTGTTGCCCAGGCTGTTCTCAAACTCCTGACCTCAAGTAACCCACCCACCTCTGCCTCCCAAAGTGCTGGGATTATAGGCAAAAGCTGCCATGCCCAGCTGAACATTCAGTCTTTTACATTAAGTATGATGTTCGCTGTAGGGTTTTTGTAGATGCCTTTTATCCAGTTGAGGCACTTTTTTCTTACATTTCTGGAATGCTTGGAGTTCCATAAATGATGACAAATCTTGTCAAATGCTTATTCTGCATCTTTTGAGATGATACGGTTTTTTTCAATCTCTTCATATGGTGAGTTTCATTTCAAATGTTGAATCAACTTATGTTTCTAGAATAATAAGCCATACTTGTCATGATATCTTATTGTTTTAACTTATTGTTGACTTGGCAATATTTTGTTAACATATTTTTGGATCTGCCTGAGGGCTATTGATCTATAGTTCTGTTACATCTTTGGTTTTGCTCTCAGGATAATGCTGGCCTCATAAGAATGAGATAAGGTGTTTCAGACTTTTTTGGAACACTTCGTGTAGAATTTTGGTTATTTATTTATGTTGATAAATGTTTGGTAGAATTCAGTGAAGCTATCTTGGGTAGAGATTTTCTTTTTTTTGTGTTAGAAGATTTATGATTACAACTTCAGGTTCTAATAGAGATACGTGTTACCTGTTTCTGAGAAGCTTTGGTAGTTTATCTTTTAAGAAATTTGTCCATTTCGCCGGGCGCGGTGGCTCAAGCCTGTAATCCCAGCACTTTGGGAGGCCGAGATGGGTGGATCACGAGGTCAGGAGATCGAGACCATCCTGGCTAACACGGTGAAACCCCGTCTCTACTAAAAAAAATACAAAAAACTAGCCGGGCAAGGTGGCGAGCGCCTGTAGTCCCAGCTACTCAGGAGGCTGAGGCAGGAGAATGGCGTAAACCCAGGAGGCGGAGCTTGCAGTGAGCAGAGATCCGGCCACCGCACTCCAGCCTGGGTGACAGAGCAAGACTCCGTCTCAAAGAAAAAAAAAAAAAAGAAATTTGTCCATTTCATCTAAGTTGCTTAAAATTGTCCACAGTATTCCCTTATTCTTTCAATGTCAATTGAATCTGTATTGATGTCCCCTTTTTGTTGTTACTCTGTTTTTGTTTTTGAGACAAGATCTCACTGTGTTGCCCAGGCTGGTCTCAGACACCTGGGCTCAAGCCATCCTCTGCTTCAGCCTGCTGAGTAGCTGAAGTTACCGGCATGTGCCACCATACCTGGCTGCCCTCTAACTTTTTTTTTTTTTTTTTTGAGATGGGGTCTCGCTCTGTTGCCCAGACTGGAGTGCAGTGGCTCAATCTTGGCTGACTGCAACCTCCGCCTCCCGGTTCAAGCAATTTTCATGCCTCAGCCTCCCGAGTAGCTGGGATTACAGGCATGTGCCACCATGCCTGGCTGATTTTTGTATTTTTAGTAGAGATAAGGTTTTGCCCTGTTGGCCAGGGTGGTCCCCTCTTTCATTCTTGATAGTGGTGATTTATGTCTTCTGTTTTGCCTTATGTAGTCCGGCTAGAGTTTGTTAATTTGGTTAATATTTATGAAGTACTAGATTTTCATTTCACTAGTTTATTTGCTGTTATTTTTCTGTTTTCTGTTTCATTGATTTCTGCTTTTTTACCTTCTTCCTTCTGCTTGCTGGGGATTTCATTTGTTCTTCTAGTTTAAGTTTTAATTTTTTTTATTTTGAGACAGAGCCTCGCTCTATCCCCCAGGCTGGAGTGCCGTGGCATGATCTCGGCTCACTGCATCCTCCACCTCCCGGGTTCAATCCATTCTCCTGCCTTAGCCTCTCGAGTAGCTGGGACTGCGGGCACGTGCCACCATGCCCAGCTAATTTTTGTATTTTTAGTAGAGATGGAATTTCACTATGTTGGTGAGGCTGGTCTCGAACTCCTGACCAAAGGTGATCCGCCTGCCTCGGCCTGCTGGAGTGCTAGGATTACAAGTGTGAGCCACCGCACCAGCCTAGTTTAAGTTTTTAAAAGCAGACTCTTGGATCATTGATTTTCTAGGTCTTTCTGCATTGATAATCCTTTGACATGATTTTTGCTCTCAAGGTATTGTTTTAACCATTTCCCACAATTTTTGAATTTTTTAAAAGTTTCTTTAAAAATATTTTCTGGTTGGGCGCAGTGGCTCATGCCTGTAATCCTAGCAGTTTGGGAGGCGGAGGTTGGTGGTGGATCACTTGAGGTCAGGAGTTTGAGACCAGCCTGGCTGGCCAACATGGCGAAACCCCATCTCTACTAAAAATACAAAAATTAGTCAGGTGTGGTGGCTTGTGCTTGTAATCCCAGCTACTCGGGAGGCTGAGGCAGGAGAATGACTTGAACCCTGGAAGCGAGGTTGCAGTGATCCGAGATCTCGCCACTGCACTCCAGCCTGGGTGACAGAGGGAACAATTTCCCCTTGTAATTTCTTGATGTGAATTATTTAGAAGTATGCTAATTTTTAAATATTTAGTAGGGGGTTCTAGATAGCGTTTTATTATTGATTTCTAATTTCTGTTGAAGTCAAGAGAATGTACCTTGATTTCAGTCTCTTTAAGTATGTTGAGATTTGTCTGTCTGCAAGAATATACTATACAGATAGTAAAAGAATATATATTCTGTTGTTGGGTGGCGTGTTCTATCTTCTGTTGGGTGAAGTGTTTTATCTTCTGTTGTTGGATGGTGTGTCCTATATTCTGTTGTAGAGTGGAGTGTCTGATATTCGGTTGTTGGGTGGCGTGTTCTATATTCTGTTGTCGGGTGGCGTGTTCTGTATTCTGTTGTCAGGTGGCATGTTCTATATTTTGTTGTCAGGTGGCATATTCTGTATTCTGTTCTCGGGTGGCGTGTTCTATATTCTGTTGTTGGGTGGATTGTTGTATATTCTGTTGTTGGGTGGATTGTTGTATATTCTGTTGTTGGGTGGCGTGTTGTATATTCTGTTGTTGGGTGGCGTGTTCTATATTCTGTTGTTGGGTGGAGTGTTCTATATTCTGTTGTTGGTGGATTGTTCTATATTCTGTTGTTGGGTGGAGCGTTCTGTATTCTGTTGTTGGGTGGAGCGTTCTGTATTCTGTTGTTGGTGGATTGTTCTGTATTCTGTTGTTGGGTGGAATGTTCTATATTCTGTTGTTGGTGGCGTGTTCTGTATTCTGTTGTTGGGTAGTGTGTTCTATCTTTTGTTGGGTGGCGTGTTCTATATTCTGTTGTTGGGCGGCGTGTCCTATATTCTATTGTGTGGCGTGTTGTATATTCTGTTGTTTGGTGGTACATTCTATCTTCTGTTGTTGGGTGGCGCGTTCTGTCTTCTGTTGTTGGGTGGCGCGTTCTGTCTTCTGTTGTTGGGTGGTGTGTTCTATATTCTGCTGCTGGGTGGCATGTTCTATATTCTGTTGTCGGTGGAGTGTTCTGTATTCTGTTGTTGGGTGGAATGTTGCATATTCTGTTGTTGGGTGGACGGTTCTATATTCGGTTACTGGGTGGCATGTTCTGTATTCTATTGTTGGGTGACGTGTTCTATATTCTGTTGTTGGGTGACGCGTTCCATCTTCTGATGTTGGGTGGTGCATTCTATATTCTGTTGTTGGGTGGCATGTTCTATATTCTGTTGTTGGGTGGGTGTGGTATTTCTGCTGTGGTCATTCTATATTCTGTTGTTGGTGGAGTGATCTGTATGCTGTTGTTTGGTGAATGTGCATATTCTGTTGTTGGGTGGAGCATTCTATATTTTGTTGTTGGGTGGATTGTTGTATATCCTGTTGGGTGGATTGTTCTATATTCTGTTGCTGGGTGGTGTGTTCTATATTCTGTTGGGTGGATTGTTCTAAATTCTGTTGTTGGGTGGTGTGTTCTATATTTTGTTGTTGGGTAGCATGTTCTATATTCTGTTGTTGGGTGGTGTGTTCTGTATTCTGTTGCTGGGTAGTGTGTTCCGTATTCTGTTGTTGAGTGGAGTGTTCCGTATTCTGTTGTTGGGTGGAGTGTTGTATATTCTGTTGTTGGGTGGCATGTTCTATATTCTGTTGTTGGGTGGCATGTTCTGTATTCTGTGTTGGGTGGAGTGTTCTGTATCCTCTTGTTGGGTGTCGCATTCTGTATTGTTGTTGGGCGGTTTCTTCTATATTCTCTTGTTGGGTGGCATGTTCTTTCTTCTGTTCGGTGGAGCGTTCTATCTTTTGTTATTAGGTGGAGCGTTCTATCTTCTGTTGTTGGGTTGCATGTTCTGTCTTCTGTTGTTGGGTGTCGTGTTCTATATTCTGTTGTTTGTGGCATGTTCTATATTCTGTTGTTGGGTGGCGTGTTCTATATTCTGTTGTTGGGTGGATTGTTCTATATTCTGTTGTTGGTGGAGTGTTCTATAGTCTGTTGTTGGGTGGAGTGTTGCATATTCCATTGTTGGGTGGAGTGTTGCATATTCCGTTGTTGGGTCAGTGTTCTATATTCTGGTTTTGGTGGCATGTTCTGTATTCTGTTGTTGGGTGGCGAGTTCTGTATTCTGTTGTTGGGTGGCGTGTTCTATATTCTGTTGTTGGGTGCATTGTTCTGTATTCTGTTGTTCGGTGGCGTGTTCTGTATTCTGTTGTTGGGGTGTTCTGTATTCTGTTGTTGGGTGCATTGTTCTGTATTCTGTTGTTCAGTGGCGTGTTCTATATTCTGTTATTGGTGGAGTGTTCTATATTCTGTTGTTGGTGGAGTGTTCCATATTCTGTTGTTGGGTGGATTGTTCTGTATTCTGTTGTTGGGTGGAGTGTTGCATATTCCGTTGTTGGGTGGCGTGTTCTGTATTCCATTGTTGGATCAATGTTCTATATTCTATTTTTGGTGGCACGTTCTGTATTCTGTTGTTGGGTGGCGTGTTTTATATTCTGTTGTTAGGTTGTGTGTTCTATATTCTGTTGTTGGGTGGCGTGTTCTGTATTCGGTTGCTGGGCGGCGTGTTCTGTATTCTGTTGGTGGGCAGCGTGTTCTGTATTCTGTTGGTGGGTGGCATGTTCTATTTTCTTTGTTGGGTGGCGTGTTCTATGTTCTGTTGTTGGGTGGAGTGTTCTATATTCTGTTGTTGGATGGAGTGTTCTATCTTCTGTTGTCGGGTGGCATGTTCTATATTCTGTTGTGTGGCGTGTTCTACATTCTGTTGTTGGTGTAGTGTTCTATATTCTGTTGCTGGGTGACGTGCTCTATATTCTGTAGTTGGGTGGCATGTTCTATATTCTTTCGTTGGGTGGCATGTTCTATATTCTGTTGTTGGTTGGATTGTTCTGTATTCTGTTGGGTGGCGTGTTCTGTATTCTGTTGTTGGGTGGCGTGTTCTATATTCGGTTGTTGGGTGGCGTGTTCTGTCTTCTGTTGTTGGATGGAGTGTTCTGTCTTCTTTTGTTGGGTGGCATGTTCTCTCTTCCATTTTTGGGTGGATTGTTCTATATTCTGTTGGGTGGCATGTTCTATATTCTTTTGTTGGTGGAGTGTTCTATATTCTGTTGTTGGGTGGTGTGTTTTATATTCTGTTGTTGGGTGGGATGTTCTATCTTCTGTTGGGTGGATTGTTATATATTCTGTTGTTGGTTGGCGTGTTCTATCTTCTGTTGTTGGGTGGATTGTTCTATATTCTATTGGGTGGCGTGTTCTATTGTTGGTGGAGTGGTCTATATTCTGTTGTTGGGTGGCAGGTTCTGTCTTCTGTTGAGTGGAGCGTTCTGTGTTCTGTTATTGGGTGGAGCGTTTTATCTTCTGTTGTTGGGTGGAGGATTCTATCTTCTATTGTTGGGTGGCGCATTCTATATCCTGTTGTTTCGTGGCATGTTCTACATTCTGTTGTTGGATGGCATGTTCTATATTCTGTTGTTGGGTGTATTGTTCTATATTCTGTTGGTTGGTGGCATGTTCTATATTCTGTTGTTGTTAGAGTGTTCTATATTCCGTTGTTGGTGTGTTATATCTCCCCTTATTGGGGGGATTGTTCTATATTCTGTTGGTGGGTGAATTGTTCTATATTCTGTTGTTGGGTGGATTGTTCTGTATTCTGTTGTTGGGTGGATTGTGCTATATTCGGTTGTTGGGTGGTGTGTTCTATATTCTGTTGTTGGGTGGTGTGTTCTATACTCTGTTGTTGGGTGCTGTGTTCTATATTCTGTTATTGGGTGGATTGTTCTATATTCTGTTGCTGGATTGTTCTATATTCTGTTGTTGGGTGGCGTGTTCTATATTCGGTTGTTGGGTGGCGTGTTCTATATTCTGTTGTTGGGTGGTGTGTTCTATATTCTGTTGTTGGGTGCTGTGTTCTATATTCTGTTGTTGGGTGGATTGTTCTATATTCTGTTGTTGGATGGATTGTTCTATATTCTGTTGTTGGGTGGCGTGTTCTATATTCTGTTGTTGGGTGGCGTGTTCTATATTCTGTTGTTGGGTGGCGTGTTCTATATTCTGTTGTTGGGTGGCGTGTTCTATATTCAGTTGTTGGGTGGCATGTTCTGTATTCTGTTGTTGGGTGGCGTGTTCTATATTCGGTTGTTGGGTGGCGTGTTCTATATTCTGTTGTTGGGTGCTGTGTTCTATATTCTGTTGGGTGTATTGTTCTGTATTCTGTTGTTGGGTAGATTGTTCTATATTCTGTTGTTGGGTGGCGTGTTCTATATTCGGTTGTTGGGTGGCATGTTCTATATTCTGTTATTGGATGGATTGTTCTATATTCTCTTGTTGATTGTTCTATATTTGGTTGTTGGGGGGCGTGTTCTGTATTCTGTTGTTGGGTGGATTGTTCTCTATTCTGTTGTTGGGTGGATTGTTCTATATTCTGTTGTTGGGTGGCGTGTTCTATATTCTGTTGTTGGATGGAGTGTTCTGTGTTCTTTTGTTAGGTGGCGTGTTCTATATTCTGTTGTTGGGTGGCGTGTTCTATCTTCTGTTGTTGGGTGGCGTGTTCTATCTTCTGTTGTTGGGTGCCATGTTCTATATTCTCTTGTTGGGTGGAGTGTTCTATATTCCGCTGTTGGGTGGATGTTCTATATTCTGTTGTTCGATGGTGTGTTCTGTATTCTCTTTTTGGGTGGCGTGTTCTGTATTCTGTTGTTGGGTGATGTGTTCTGTATTCTATTGTTTGGGTGGCACATTCTATATTCTGTTGTTGGGCGCCGTGTTCTACATTCTGTTATTGGGTGGAGTGTTCTATATTCTGTTGTTGGGTGGTGTGTTCTACAAAATGTCAGGTCAGGTTGGTTAAGGGTTGTTAGTTTAGGTTTTCTATATTCTTAGTTTTTTCTTTTTTTGCTCTTTTCATCAATTGCTATGAGAAAGAAGTGTTGAATTTTTTCAACTGTAATTGTGGATTTGTGTGTTTCCCCATTCAGTCCTATTGGTTGTTGCTTTATCTCTTCTCTAAAACTATATTTTAACTTACTTTTACTGATTTTGAAATAGATTTTTTGTTTAGGAAAACAAAGTGTTAAAATGTAAACCAACCAGAGATAATTTTAGGGAGCAGTGTTTAATTCAGCCTTCAAACTTGTTCATGAGTCGTGATCAATCTTTGTTGTCATATTATTATATTAAAAACTATTTCAGAGAGGAAATTTGTAGCCAGGTACAGTTTTTTTTGTAGTTTGATTAAAAAGTTAAATTTATCACAATGAATCATATATTTTTAATGTTACGATTCCTGTTGTATAAAAATTTTACTAACAAATTTAAAAGGTGAGAAGAAGAGATCAAATTGTTTTGCAGTTATAAAATTATCACTAGTTTAGCCTTTGAGAATATAGGTAATAGATTAAAAATTCAATTTAAAAATGATTTAAACTGCTTTTGAGACTTCCTCCAGAACTGACCTTTTTCATTTATGAAAAGCAGACACTCGCCTATGGGGACATGAACCATGAGTGGATCGGCAACGAGTGGCTCCCCAGCCTGGGCCTACCCCAGTACCGTAGCTACTTCATGGAGTGCCTTGTAGACGCCAGGATGCTGGACCACTTGACCAAGAAAGACCTGCGAGGGCAGCTGAAAATGGTCGACAGTTTTCACAGGTAACTTAATGGAGATAGTTCTTACTAATTGGCTAAGATTTTTCACTGTTACCATCTCTAAATCATCTCTCTTTTCTTCCAAACAGAAACAGTTTCCAGTGTGGAATTATGTGCCTGAGAAGGTTAAATTATGACCGGAAAGAACTGGAAAGAAAAAGAGAAGAAAGTCAGAGTGAAATAAAAGGCTAGTACATGACATTTAATTGATTTAGTTCACTCCTACTTGCTGGTGTGTTTGCAGCCTCAGTGACTTCCTGTTTTCCAAAAAATCAAGAAAGGCTAAATTTAAGTGGAGAAAACTAGTCTAGTGTCATTGCAGAGGAGGGCTGGATGAAGATGAGTGCTTTTGACATCCTCTTCCACAGCCAGAGAACTGTTCCCTGTGTTCTCACACCTCAGTCTGGAGGTTAAATGTCTCAGGCTAGTCATTTCCTATGAGTTGAGAATTTTCCTTTGGTCATGCCCTGTGTACTCCTTCACTCCAAAATGCTATTCCACACTGTTAGGTAACAACAGAGCAAAGCTCACTTGATGATTCAAGTGTAAGAAATATGGCTGGGGGCTTATCCAAGGGGTTCAGGAACACAGGAAAGCGCCGTGCAGTTCTGCTCCCAGAGTGGAAGGAGAAGCAGCGTCCACATTTCAGCCAGTCCTTGAAGAAGGTGGAGCAGCTGCTTAGGGTAAGGAAAAGGCATTTCAGTTGGAAAACACAGGCCAGGGAGGTTAGAGGACGTGGGACATTCATCCAGAAGACGTGGGGTTGGTTCTCCTCTCTGTTGGGGAGCCTCTCACTCGGTACTCAAATGTATTTGTTTGTTTACTTATTTATTTTATTTTGAGACAGGGTCTCGCTGTCTAGCCCAGGCTGGGCTGGAGTGAAGTGGAGTGATCACAGCTCACTGTAGCCTTGAACTCCTGGGCTCAAGTGCTCTTCCTGCCTTAGCCTCCCTGGTAGCTGCTGGGACTACAGGCGTGAGACAGGGTCTCGCTATGTCACGTAGGCTGATCTCGAACTTTTGAGCTCAGGCGATCCTCCCACCTTGGTCTTCCAAACTGTTGGGATTACAGGTGTGAGCCACCACACCCAGTCAGAATTTGGTTTTAAAGTTAGACGGTAAACATTAAGCTCAGAGTAATGACTCCCAGAATTCCTGGAATGCAAGGAAGTCACTAATAACAATAGCGATAAGAAGAGGCCAGCCTTACTCACAGTGAGTAGGCACCGGGTGGTGCTCCAAGCACTCCGGGGTTGGCTTCTTTCGTCTTTCCCTCAGCCCTGTCAGTCTAAGTGCTGTTTTCATCCCCACTTTTTACTAAGAAAGAAACTAAGGATAAAAATATGGTTGGGAGATGGCCCAGCTGAAGGGAAGTTTACTCATGATTGAGTTAATGTGAATCAGGAGAAAAGTCGTAAGTCGACATTTATACAATGTGTGTATATGTATGGACTTTTATCCAGAAAAGGGCATTGGAAATGAAATATGTCCATCTGTTTTGTTTTCTGTATCTATTTTACATCTTTTTCCAATAGACAAAAACTGTCTTTGGAAGTGATTGGTGATCATCTGCATATATTTTTATAGAGTGGCTATTTTTAGATCTAATAGAGCAAATTGAATAATTTGTTAATTTTCTTAAGATATTGTGACCAGGCATGGTAGCTTATGCCTGTAATCTCAACACTTTGGGAGGCCAAGGCAGGAGTATTATCTGAGCCCATGAGTTCAAGACCAGCCTGGGCAACACAGTGAAACCCTGTCAGTACCAAAAAATTAGCTGGGCTTCGTGACATACGCCTGTAGTTCCAGCTCCTCAGGAGACTGAGGTGGAAAAAATCGCTTGAGCCCCAGAGGTTGAGGCTGCAGTGAGCTGTGATGGTACCAAGCTGTATCCAGACTGGGCGACAAAGCAGCACCTTGTCAATAAAAAAAGAGAGAGAGGAAGAAAAAAGATTTTCTGCAAAGCCTCTAATATGCTGGATGATATTTTTAAGTTTCTCTCATTTTAAAATGAGACAAAGACGTCAAGATTAGAAATGAGAGGTTTCTGTGGAATTATGCAAAGTGTTCATTTTATTCTGAAGCCAGCTCCATCTGTGATGAAGTTTTCAGAAGACTCCAGTCTGTGTGTGAAGCATGTTTATACATGTTAGGTATTCACGTTCTTGCAGTCCTCTGGCTTCTGATCCCTGGATCCTCCTCATCTTCTTTTCTCTAGAAATAATAACTTCATTCCTCTTGTGCTCACTGGAAGGATGAGTTCTAATGGGAGAGTCTCCCTGAGAGTGGAGCAGGGCCAGGACACCATTGTCTCAGTGCAGCAAATGATTGTCTATTTAGCAGTGTCTCCCAGCACTTTTGTCAGGAGCCGAAGGATTAGGAACCATGGTAGGAATCTTTCTCCTGCATTCGCGGTACATGTGATAAAGATGGCTTTCTGAAGCCACTTTTATAATTGTCTTTATTCTTTTGCAGACGTGCTTGTTTGGAGCAATGATCGAGTGATTCGCTGGATCCTATCAATTGGCCTTAAAGAATATGCAAACAATCTTATAGAGAGTGGTGTTCACGGAGCACTTCTGGCCTTAGACGAAACCTTCGACTTCAGTGCACTGGCACTGCTATTACAGATCCCGACGCAGAACACCCAGGTGATGCCACGCCTGTCCGTGTCTGCATTCAGTGTTCAGTTGGTGCCCTGATTATAGACAGTTATTTGAATAGAAAGAAAACTTAGAAAAAAAAGAAACCTTCAGACAACTAGTTTTTTTGTCTTTTTGTTTTTGGTCTATCATCTTTCCCTTTTCTGTTGAAAGCATGAGAGTCCTGCAATAAACCAGATAAGGAGGATCTTTCATTCCAGCCCATGTGCCTGATCAGAAGAGTGACATATATTTAGTTCTTACATGGAAAGGGAAGTATTTTTAGGTGTGCCACATGAAGATTTTATTAATTTTGTTTTTATGGGTAATTGCCTTATGTAATTCTTTTTGACTTATGGGCTCATTTGAAAAACAGAGAACTTTTATTATTCCTCTACAGAACATTGAATATGCCAGGCGAGGTGGCTCATGCCCACAACCCCAACACTTTGGGAGGCCCAGGTAGGCAGACTGCTTGAGTCCAGGAGTTCAAGACCAGCCTGGCCATCATGGTGAAGCTCTGTCTCTACAAAAAAATACAAAAAATTAGCCAGGTGTGGTGGCACATGCCTGTAGTCCCAGCTACTTGGGAGGCCAAGGCAGGGGGATCACTTGGCCCAGGAAGTGGAGGTTGTGATGAGCTGCCGTTGCGCCACTGCACTCCAGCCTGGGTGACAGAGTGAGACCCCATCCCAAAGAAAAAGAAAAAAAAAAAAAGGCGTTGAATATCTTTTGCCAGTACCCCTGACCAACCCACACACCCTTGTTAATATGACTCCAAGGATCATGGATCCCTCTCTGCAAAAGTCCATCCATAGACTCCACATTAGATGCCCTGATTTAAAATATTATTATGGTTCAATATGGTCATAGTAGTGAAGGAATTTTTGTTTGTTTGTTTTGAGATGGAGTTTCACTCTTGTTGCCCAGACTGGAGTGCGGTTGCGATCTTGGCTCACTGCACCCTCTGCCTCCCAGGTTCAAGTGATTTTCCTGCCTCAGCTTCCCAAGTAGCTGAGATTACTGGCACACGCCACCACGCCCAGCTAATTTTTGTATTTTTAGTATTTTTGTATTTTAGTTTCACCACGTTGGCCAATCTGGTCTCGAACTCCTGACCTCAAGTGATCTGCCTGTCTCGGCCTCCCAAAGTACTGGGATTACAGGCATGAGTCACCACACCCAGGTCCTAATTTTTATAGTTTTAGTAGAGACGGGGTTTTACCATGTTGACCAGTCTTGTCTTGAACTCCTGACCTCAGATGGTTTGTGCGCCTCGGTCTCCCAAAGTGTTGGAATTACAGGCATGAGCCACCGCACCCAGCCAGCAGTGAGGGAGTTTAAGTCTTGGTTTAAAAAACAAGTATGATGCTAACACCCTTCAAATTAGATTTGATGAAAGTTTTATTTGTTATTCTTTGGTTATTTCAGGCTCGTGCTGTCTTGGAAAGAGAATTTAACAACCTTTTGGTCATGGGGACTGATAGAAGGTTTGATGAAGTAAGTTTTTGGCTTAATGTTCTTTAAATGTCTATGAAACGTGTGTAAATGTTTAAATGTGTGTGAAATGTAAGCTGTTATTATTATACTCAGGACATCACGTAGCTAGGCAGTCTCTCTGGATGTTAGAAGTTAGGATTTGCTCTTAAGAATTTATTAACAAATGAGCCTTTAAAAACTAATACCTGGGCCAGACGCAGTGGCTCATGCGTGTAATCCCAGCACTTTGGGAGGCGGAGGCAGGGGTATCACCTGAGGTCAGGAGTTTAAGACCAGCCTGGCCAATATGGTGAAACCCCATCTCTACTAAAAAACACAAAAATTAGCCAGGCGTGGTGGTAGGTGCCTATGATCGCAGCTACTTGGGAAGCTGAGGCTGGAGAATCGCTTAAACCTGGGAGGTGGAGGTTGCAGTGAGCTGAGATTGCGCCACTGCACTCCAGCCTGGGCGACAGAGAGAAACTCCATCTCAAAAAGAAAACCCCCCCCCCCAAAAAAAAAACCACAAAAGTAATACCTTCAAGAAGGTAGTTTTGTTATTTTTGCTATTTAATTTTTGACATCCCTCAAAAATGGTTTTCACATCATAAAACATTGGTTGCAGCTTAGGAATAGAGTCTGTAAGTTGGGTTTTAGGGACCACTAGGTATCCTACCCCAGTCCAGAGTATACCCCCCATAATCCTGTGCATTGGTGGGGTGGCATGTTTCAGAAGTATATTAAAAACACAAAATGTTAATTTCCCCTTCAAACCATGACTCATTTGTTTCACACTATTAGGAGTCTCTTAATTGGACCTTAAGAATAAACTTGAGTTTGACAGAGAATAGAAGGCCACCTCTAAAGATGAAGCACTCGTTGGCTGTATCCTGGCATAAGATAGAATTGTTTATAGCTTAAAAATTGTTTGTAGAGCTGCACGTGGCAGGGGCATACCTGTAGTGCCAGCTACTTAGGAGGCTGCAGTGGGAGGATGGCTTGAGCCCAGGAGTTTAAGCTCACCACTGCATTCCAGCCTGGGCAACAGATCTAGACTCTGTCTGTAAAAAAATAAATATAAATGAAAAATAAACTATTTTTAAGATAAATAAAAATGTATTATGTAGCAAGAAAGTGATTCCTGCAAGGTAAGAAGTAGAACACGATGCTGGGGAGAAGGAGCACATCCCCATGGCCCAGCACCGACCTCACTTCGCCAGCTGAGGCCCAGCCGGACCATCACCATGCCCCATTTCACGCTGAAGTTCCAGTTTGGGCAATATATTGTGTGGTCATCAAGAAGGGATGAAATACACGTGAACAAGAATACGTACATTCTTGAGTTCAGCAGTCATTTTAAAGGACATTTAACTTTACATCTCTGACGTTTATTTTTTAAAATGAATCTTGTTTTTTGTTGTTTAATTTACCAGGATGATGATAAAAGCTTTAGGAGAGCACCTTCATGGAGAAAAAAGTTTAGACCAAAGGACATTCGCGGCTTAGCTGCTGGGTCAGCAGAGACTCTCCCTGCAAACTTCCGGGTCACTTCTTCTATGTCTTCCCCCTCAATGCAGCCAAAGAAGATGCAGATGGACGGTATGTGATGGGTCGCGCTAACCTGCCACTTGCTGGGAGCATGAGCAGCTTTTTGTCTGGAACATTAATAATGATCTAAAACGGCCCAGTTAATATGTTACAAGGCACTTGAGTATGGTTGCATGTCCAAATATAAATGTTTTTAAATTAACTCTAACATTTGTTTATAAAAGTTTAACCGTAATAATAGAATTTTTTAAACATTCTTGTCTGGTTGAATCTTAGCATATTTTTCCAACTAATAAAGCTCAGTATTCGTCTGTGTTCTCAGAGGGAGACTGAGGCATACTTGTAAATCTGTGTCTGTGACAGGCCGTGCTAGAAAGCTCTTTCAGGAAATAGTAGTGTAGTAGTAGCTTCCAAACCACATGATTCACCGCTCTCCACACCAGAGAATATAACAGTATATTTTAAAGAACACACAGTTTACAGCTTGTGTGAGCTCTGCCTGTCCTTTCGGCCCTCCCTGCTGCTGCTGTTCTGTGCAGTCACGTGTCTACCCATTAGAGGGCAGGGAAGGGAGGACGGTGAACCTCCAGGAAGTCCCCAGTGGAGCGAGGCAGCCATGAATATACCAGCCAGAGAGAGAGCATCACTGCCATGATTTCAAGCACAGTTTGGGATTTTCCCTTTGACAGCCGCTTTGATTTGAGGTTAACAGTTGACCCTGGCTTCCTGACAGGTCTCTCAGCTCTGATCTTGTACTCATCTAATGAAAGGCAGTGCACAGGTTGAAGAGCCAGGCTGCCTAGGTTTGACTCCAGCTCTGCCGCTACGAGGTGCATGACCCTGAGCAAGTCAGTTAACTAAACTGTGCCTCGGTTTCCCCATCTGTAAAATGGTCGTCATGGTAGTGTCTTCCTCATAGAGTAGTTGCGATGATTAAACGCATCATTCATAAAGCTGGTGAAGTTCTGAGCCCGTGTCAGTGGGGGCCGTATGGCAGCCCCTGTGCTACACACAGGTGTCACTCATGCACAGTTCTGAGGCCAGTGAGCAGACTGAAGAAAAGGAAGTGGCATTAAAAACTGTGCTAATCCTTGAGGCCAGGAGTTCAAGACCTGCCTGGCCAACATGGCAAAACCCCGTCTCTGCAAAAAAAAAAGTACAAAAATTAACCAGGTGTGGTGGCACACGCTTGTAATCCCAGCTACTTGGGAGGCTGAGGCATGAGAATCATTTGGATTTGGGAGGCAGAGGGTGCAGTGAGCTGAGATTGTGCCATTGGACTCCAGCCTTGATGACAGACTGAGACCCTGTCTCAAAAAAAAAAAAAAAAAAAAAATTTAAGTGCTAATTAGGGGCCAGGTATGATGGCTTATGCCAGTAATCCTAGCACTTTGGGAGGCTGAGAGGCAGGAGGATCACTTGAGCTCGAGTTTGAGACTAGCCTGGGCAACACAGTGAGACCCCATCTCTACAAATAATAATAATAATTAATAATAATTGAAAACTGTGCTAATGGGGTTTTTGCAAATTTTTTTTTTGTCATCAGCCCCTCCCATAAGTAAGTTCATAAATTTTGTTCTCTATCACCTGTATAAAAATCAAAAGAAAAGTACATTTATATAAAACCTTAGTTAAGCCGGACACTTTGGGTGAGAATAGCTTACTTTGTGGCATTTTTTTTTTTTTTTTTTTTTGAGACGGAGTCTCGCTCTGTCGCCCAGGCTGGAGTGCAGTGGCCGGATCTCAGCTCACTGCAAGCTCCGCCTCCCGGGTTCACACCATTCTCCTGCCTCAGCCTCCCGAGTAGCTGGGACTACAGGCGCCCGCCACCTCGCCCGGCTAGTTTTTTTGTAGTTTTAGTAGAGACGGGGTTTCACTGTGTTCACCAGGATGGTCTCGATCTCCTGACCTCGTGATCCGCCCATCTCGGCCTCCCAAAGTGCTGGGATTACAGGCTTGAGCCACCGCGCCCGGCCACTTTGTGGCATTTTTAGTAAAAGGCTGTATTATTTATTTATTGTTTGCCACAGTTTGAGAATATACTTAAGGGGGAAAACTCAGTATAACTAAGAACTTTTTTTAAATTAGCATTTTTCCTCCAAGAGTCATGTGGATAATTCTTAGAAAATGTAACTGTAACTTGGCCTTCAGCTCAAGCGCTGTCACCTGCAGAGTCCACATGAGTGCTTTCTTGTTTCCTTGTGGCTTCCATTTCAGTTTTCCTTCTGATACATCACATTTCCCTTGTTAAATGTTAACAGGAATATTAAGAATGAGAGTTTGGATGGATGAAAAGTAAACCTAGGCCCGGCGCTGTGGCTCACGCCTGTAATCCCAGCACTTTGGGAGGCCGAGGTGGGTGGATCACCTGAGGTCAGGAGTTGGAAACCAGCCTGGCTAACATGGTGAAACCCTGTGTCTAGTAAAAGTACAAAAAATTTTGCCAGGCATGGTGACACATGCCAATAATCCCAGCTACCTGGGAGGCTGAGGCAGGAGGATGGCTTGAACCTGGGAGGTGGAGGTTGCAGTGGGCTGAAATCATGCCACTGAACTCCAGCCTGGGCGACAAGCAAAACTGTCTCAAAAAAAAAAAAGTAAACCTAAAAGGTATAGAGAATTTATTATAAAGAAGACTTTTTACCCTTACATAAATAACTCAGGCACAAGCCTGCTAAAGGGATTATTATTATTATTATTATTATTATTATTGAGACACGGTCTCACTCTGTTGCCCAGGTTGGAGTGCAGTGGCTCAGTCTCGGCTTACTGCAACCTCAGCCTCCCAAGTAGCTGGGACCACAGGTGCGCACCACCATGCCTGGCGAGTTTTTTTAACTTTTTGTAGAGGTGGGGCCTCACCATGTTGCCCAGGCTGGTCTTAAACTCTTGGGCTCAAGCAATCCTCCTGCCTTGACCTCCCAAATTGCTGGAATTACAGGCGCGAGGCACCGTGCCGAGCAAAATTGATTATTTTAATGGCTTTTTAATTAAGGGAATGTGGGGTAAACTCCAGCAGGTCTCCCAGGCTCTTAGAGTCAGAGGGTTTGTGAAGATCATCTATCCTACCCAATAGTCCCAACTGTCCTAACGTCTTTGCCGGAACCATGCAGGATGTTGATAAGAGTTCCTGGTATACCTGTGGGAAAACAAAAAACATATAACCGGGAGCAGCCAGTACCTGTTTCTGATTTGTAAAAACTTAAACTCCAGGTTGTTAATGGAAATCAGGCTTACTTCTGGCCACACAGTGTGTTTCTTGAACAAGAATGAAAATCTGTGGTCTCTATGATTAATATTTCTAGTAGGAACTGAGACTGGGCTTCAGTTTTTAGATCAGCCCTCACCCCACTCCCTGGCCAACGCCCCACCCCTGCAGCCAGATCTCTGCACCTGCTCTGCTCCTCCCCAGGAGAAAAGGGCATGGCTTCTCAGACACCGCAGCTAGTGCTGGTCTGCAAAGTTCTCTCCCCTCCTCTGAGGCTGGCCTTGTACCCAGTGTCGTTGGCCTCTGTGCTCAGCGGGGCTGGTCTTCGAGGTTCTTTCCCCTCCTCTGAGGCTGGCCTTGTACCCAGTGTCATCGGCCTCTGTGCTCAGCAGGGCCGGGCGGCATCAGCGGTGCCGCGTGGTGTTTCCTTCATACCAGTGTCAGAGATGGAGAAAGCCCCATTGGTCTATGAATGTAGAGTTTGGTAACAGGCAAAGGGATCGCTCTAAGTAGGGTCATTTATGCAGATGTACATTTTGAAATTGTTACTGTCCCATTTGGTGCTTGGTATTTCGGAGTAGTGTTCCAGAGTCTCCTGGGGCTCCTTGGGAGCTGGGGAGAGCCACCACTGGGTGACACTTGGATCTCTCTCTCTGGCTCCATCCCGCCCACTCAGGCAGCTCCCCTCAGGTCCCTCCATAGGCGCTGCTGTAGTTGTGAAGATGTGTGTCTACTTGTGCCCTCATGTGATGTTCTAAGACTAACTGCACGCTGTGTTTGCACGCTTCCTCTCGTGGCTGTTGAAACAGGCAATGTATCAGGAACACAGAGGTTGGATTCTGCTACAGTCAGGACTTACTCCTGCTAAAGTCTCCTGTTGGTGAGTAGAGAGCACCACAACCCCTGGAGGTGGCTCAGAGGCACAGCAGGAGTCATCGGAGCTGCAGTGCCAGACTAGGGGTGTGGACCATGAAAGCCAATGCAGTTTTTGGGGAATTTAAAATATATAGAGACACAAGCTCTCCGTACCCATTAAGATAATGTTGTTGTTACAATTGATCATAAAGAGGTTAGTGTGTCCTCTTTTTTTTAAGGGAAAAAAAAAACGTATTTTCACCGTTTCCTTAAACCTGAAAATGCTGACTCATTGTAATTGTCTGTGGATGTTATGCGGGTGCAGTGGGGAGGAGAGCAGAGCATGGCAGAGAGCGTCAGGGGAGTGTCTCACCCTGACGTCATTATGCACATGGCCTTGATTCCTAAGCTTGCTTCGTTTTAAATACACATTCTTGAATGAAACAAGCCCAAGTTTCGTGGTTAATTACATACTGTATTAAGTGTGACACTAATAGCCCGTCAGTTTGGAGAGACTGGCTCTTAAAACTACAGACTCTGGCTGCTAAGTGGCCCGCCCTCTCCTTGCTGTTCTAAGCAATTTGAAGGTCTCCGTTGGCATATTTGACTGGTTTGTTCATCTTTTATTTGTAATTGGTAACTTGTAGACGTAAGCCAAAATGAAGTCAGCCAAGGAACTGTCTCATTGATGTGCATAGCCCTTGATGTTCTAGCCAGTGATTCTCAGAGCAGCTACGGCACAGAAAGTCACGGTCCTGGAGGGGAGGGGCCAGGGTTGGGACGTTTGGGCCCCAGCGTCAGAAGCTCCCTTTCGTCAGCACGGCCCAGCCTGCACTGAGTGGCTTTTTGTTTGTGTTTATTTTCCAGTTTACCCACACTACTTCTACCGATGATTACTCAGCATTTGAATCCAACAAAGACTACATTTTAGAATCCAATGGAATCTTTAATCTGTTAATACTTGTTATATGGACCCTAAGATATTTTATTACAGAGTTTTTAATTAGTGAAAAATTCATGAATACCATAGAGAAAATATTTTAGAATTTAATGTTTCTTATATTTATGTAAACTTATGACTCTTCATTTATATAGTTACTTACTTTTTCATGTATATCCAGGCTATAAATATCCTTTCAAATCATGTTCTTATACCTAATTTTAGTCTTTCAAATGAATGTACTGTAATGCTTGTATGTATAAATCCTATGAACAAATAGAGGGCTTTTGTAAATTATGCATTTATTGTAATTATCATTAATTTTTTAATGATAAACCATGAAAAGGATTTTACTACATTTATAAAATTATGACAGAAGCAATGTGCATTATCCTTTACAGACGCAGCCTAGCTCTACAGCAATCATTCTGAAATAAGCATACCTAATTTCAAGCAATTGTATTTTAATGACTGACCTTAACTATACTTTTTCTAGTAAGAAATGCTTTATTCTGCAGCATGAACAGATTTAAAATAGCTGGTGTTAAATATCAGCTCCTAATAAAATGTGGACTGAAAAGACTATCACAACACTATGAGAAGCCCCTAGCACTGGTTAACGCTTTCCTAGCCTAGTCTCTGGATTTGGGGAGCTTGTCTTCAGTGGCTGACAGAGACCGTGAGCTGGGAGCAGTTCTCTCAGCTGGAGAGACTCGGGATGGGGTAACCTGGGGACCAGCCCAGCCCCTGCGCCCTCTTCCCTGCCTCTGCTCCTTGGGAGCGGGTGGAGAGACACCCATGTAGCTCCCCTTGGGGCCAGCCACCAAGCACCACGCGCAAGTCCGCGCACACAGCGGATGAAGGCAGGAGACCCAGAAAGCAGTGCAGTGCAGCTCTAATAAAGGCCTTATTTTTCTTATGTAAATCATCTTTTTACATTTGTTTGTAAACATGTTTAAAGAATGAACCTAGTGGGACATTTTTAGACCTTGATGTTATAGCCATTTTGGATTGTGTAAGTTGCAGATGTGGCTTTTACTTTTTCAATGGCATATTAAAAAGCCAGCAAAGCGTGTCAGACCATGGCGTGGTATTTCCTGTGCAGCAGATACAGAGGTGGAGGCAGCCTGTCTTTTCAC